TTGAGATGATTGATTTGAGATATTTCCCATTTCTCATAGCTATTTGGTGCTATAAATTTTCCTCTCAGCATTTCTTTAGCTTTGTCTCACAAATTTCAATGTTATATTTTTATTTTCATTCAGTTTAATGTATTTTTTTTTTTTTTTTTGAGACAGAGTCTTACTCTGTCTCCCAGGCTGGAGTGCAGTGGCATGATCTCAGCTCACTACAGCCTCCACCTCCTGGGTTCAAGCGATTTTCCTGCCTCAGCCTCCCAAGTAGCTAGGACTACAGGTGTGTGCCACCACACCAGGCTAATTTTTTTTTTTTTGTATTTTTAGTAGAGATGGGGTTTCACCATGCTGGCTAGGCTGGCAATATATTTTTTAAAAATGTTTCTTTGAGCAGGCCCGGCACAGTGGCTCACACCTATAATTCCAGCACTTTGGGAGGCCGAGGCGGGTGGATCACGAGGTCAAGAGATCGAGACCATCCTGGTCAACAAGGTGAAACCCCGTCTCTACTAAAAATTAAAAAATTAGCTGGGCATGGTGGTGCGTGCCTGTAATCCCAGCTACTCAGGAGGCTGAGGCAGGAGAATTGCTTGAACCCAGAAGGCGGAGGTTGCGGTGAGCCAGGATTGTGCCATTGCACTCCACTCTGGGTAACAACAGCGAAACTCCATCTCAAAAAAAAAAAAATGTTTCTTTGAGATTCTACTTAGACCCATGGATTATTTAGAAGTGTGTTGTTTAATATACAAGTATTTGGACATTTTTCTGTTATTTTTTTGTTGTTGAATTGTAGTTGGAGAATATATGCTGTATGATTTGAGTTCTTTTAAATTTGTTCAGGTTTGTTTTATGGTCCAAGATATGGTCTATCTTGATAGATGTTACTTTTTTTTTTTAGTTCCTTTTTTTTTTTTAATTTTTTTGAGATGGAGTTTCACTCTGCCACCTTGGCTGTAGTACAGTGGTATGATATTGGCTCACTGTAGCCTCCACCTGCTGACTTCAAACACTTCTCCTGCCTCAGCCTCCCAAGTAGCTGGGGCTACAGGTGCCCATCACCATGCCTGGCTAATTTTTTGTATTTTTAGTGGAGATTGGGTTTCATCATGTTGATTACGCTGGTCTTGAACTCCTGACCTCAGGTGATCCGCCTGCCTTGGCCTTCCAGTGTTGGGATTGCAGATGTGAGCCACCGCACCCAGGCAATCTTGATAGATGTTTCATTGGCACTTGAAAAAAATGTACCGTATGATATTCGGTAGAGTGTTGTATAAATGTCAGTTACATTCTGTTGGTTGACGGTGTTAAGTCCTGCTGTGCCATTGCTGATTTCCTGCCTAGCTGGTCTATCAGTTGTTGAGAGAATGTACCACCATATCAGTTTTTGAGTCCTGAAGTCCCTAAGTAGTCTGACTTCTGTCTACTCTTCAGAGTCTTCTTATATTTCTTTAATTTACAATGTCCAGGTTTTTAGTTATATTTAGAGGAATAGGAAAAAGCATATATACTCCATCTTCCAGGAATTAGAAGTGGTACTTAAATTTTTATTTTTATATTAAAAAAAATTTCCTCAGATAGGCCAGGTGTAGTGGCTCACACCTGTAATTGCAGCACTTTGGGAAGAGGAAAATTCACTTGAGCCCGGGAGTTTGAGACCAGCTTGGGTCTATGAGAAACATATGACCTCATCTCTACAAAGTGAAAAAATTAGCCTGGCATGGTGGCATGCCCTGCAGTTCCAGCTACTTGGGGACTGTGGTGAGAGGATCCCTTGAACCCAGGAGGTCACAGCTGCAGTGAGCTGTGATCATGCCACTACACTCCAGTGTGGATGACAGAGCAAGATCCTGTCTCAAAAAAAAAATGTATTATTCTCATCTTTTCTTACCTTGGTTAGGTCATAAAGCAATTTAAATCACTTGTAGTTTCTACTAAAGAGTCTAACCTCTGAGTTATGACCCTAATTTGAAAACAGTAGTCAGGGCCAGGCTTGGTGGCTCATGCCTGTAATCCCAGCACTTTGGGAGGCTGAGGCAGGCCAATCACGAGGTCAGGAGATGGAAACCATCCTAGCCAACATGGTGAAATACTGTCTCTACTAAAAATACAAAAAAATTAGCTCGGCGTGGTGGCTTGCGCCTGTAATTCCAGCACTTTGGGAGGCTGAGGTGGGTGGATCATGAGGTCAGAAGTTCGAGACCAGCCTGACCAACATGGCAAAATCCTGTCTCTACTAAAAATACAAAAATTAGCCAGGTATGGTGGCACATGCCTGTGATCCCAGCCACTTGGGAGGCTGAGGCAGGAGAATCGCTTGAACCTGGGAGGCGGAGGTTGTGGTGAGCTGAGATTGCACCACTGCACTCCAGCCTGGGTAACAAGAGCGAAACTCTGTCTCAGAAAAAGAAAGGCAGTAGTGGGAAGCACCTGCAGCCACTGTGGGGACAGCTAGTTAACCCCAGCACTACAACTTCATCGCCGGTTAGTGGTTCTCAAATTTTGCTGCTTATGAAAATCATCTAGAGAACTTTAAGAACTCTCCATACCCAAGTCACCATTTATATCATGACTGTGGTAAGAGCCAGGCACTAGCATTGTGTGATTTTTTTTTTTTGTTTTAATAAATTTCTAAGTGATTTCACTGTGTAATGGAATTTGGGAACCACTGTTCCAGTGTGTCAATGGAAGCATGTGTAACTAACACTGCAGCTGCAAGAGCTTAGGCAGGTTTTTGTTTGTTTATTTTTCTGTTAACAATTGCAACTCTGTTTATTCCCCTCTTGGTCCCAAATATAGGATCACCTAAGACCAGTAACAGAAGGGGACTTCTTTATTCTTGAAAACTAAAACTGTGGGTCCCCTGAATGTTCTTCTATCCTTTGATTCATAAACCAGTGTCAGCGAAGTTTTTTATTTTTTTATTTTAAGTTCCAGATAGTAAATATTTTAGGTTTTGAGGGTTATTATAATCGCTGTCCCAACTACTTACCTTTGCTTTTATACAGCAAGAGGCAAAACAAATGGGCATAGCCATGTTCCTATACTCTTCCCCATCTCTACAAAAGGTAAATTAGCATGGTGGCACATGCTTGTAGTCCCACCTGCTTGTGAGGCTAAGGTGGGAGGATTGCTTGAGCTCAGAAGGTCAGGGCTGCAGTGAGCTATGATTGTGCCACTGCACTCCACCCTGGGCAATGAGACCCTGTCTCAAAAACAAAAAATTGACAACAAAAAAACAGGTCATGGTCAGGATTTGAACCAAGAGTTGAGTTTCCTGACCCCTGTCATAATCTTTCAAATGTTTCACTTCAATTACAAAGTAGTCAGTGCCTAGCATATATAAGAATTGCTTCTAGGCTTCATCAAGTGTGACACTTACGTATTTTTGGGAAACCAGTGTGAGAAGGGATTGGTTGAGTGAGCAAGGCAAAGTCATACTTATTTGAATCACTTGAATCTACACACACTTAAAATAAGGTTCTTTCTATGTTTGAAGCAACTCCTCTGCCTAGCTCATTTGATGTTAATTGACTCTATAGCTATACTGTCTAACATGATACCATTAGCAACAAGTGGCTAAACTTATATTTAAATTAGTTAAAGTTAAACACCATTTAAAATTTAGGTCCTCAGTTAACTAGTCGCCTTTCAAGTGACATACATGACTAGTGGCTACTATATTGGATAGCACAGATATAGACCTTTTCCATCAATGCAGGCAGCTCTCTTGACAGTGATTCTCTGGAATTTTTAAGCCGTGAATCTTAGACAGCTGTGGCTTTGGAGTATTTAATTTAAAATCACTAACTTTTAACTTCTGTTTTCCTTTTATTCATTTAGCCAAAACTCATTTTATATAACAAATAAATACAATATATGTTTTGGTTTTAGGAAAAAACAAAAATGAGTTTCATGGTATCCAGAAAGTGACTGATTGAGAACTATTGGAATCTGAACTTCCATATTCATTGGAAGCTTTATCATGGGAAGTTAAAATATTGCCTTATATGAAGATTTTATTAAAATGGTATAAACAGCAGATATTACATTTATTGAGTAAGTTATATGTGCTAGGCACTGAGTGCTTTATAGTTGAAGCTCAGGAAAGTTAAGTAAATTCCAAATAAATGTGGCTGGTACTGGTATTTGAACCCAAACCTGTGTGATGACTTCAGAACTTTTGTTTTCCTGTTACACTGCGCTGCTTCAAATTTGCTGAAGACTGCGGTAATTATTTTACGTGTCTCATCTTAGGAAGCTGTAACTCCCTAAAGATGTGTTACTCATACACCGTGTTCATTTAAATAAGACAAGTCATCAATTTTCCTTAAAATTAGAAATATTTAATACAGGCTTTTTTTTCTTAAGAAATATGTGGAAGAAGAGGAAAATTGTCAGTGATCCTATTATAAGTTGGTAGAGCAATATTAATATGATTTCAATTTCTTAGGAACAGTGAGATTTTATTTATAAAATTACTATTGATATTAATTTAAGTTTTATATTGAAAATTGCTCCTAATGTTGCTGTAATAAATTTTTATATTGAAAATTTTTCATTCGCTGACTGCTAAGAATTATAGGTTTGTTTAAAGGTTATTTTTGCAAGACAGTGCAATAGATTCTGATATGTTCTGTTAATATACAAGACCCTTTTTTCAATTTATACCTTCAAGGTTACATTTAAGGTAACAGAACAACTTGGTAACAATTAGGAATATTCGCACAATCTTTATTTTGCACATGAAAATAAGGTTGTCTTGTGAAGGTGGTCAGTTAAAAAATTGTCAAATGCAATTCCCTTAACTAGATTATTGAATGGAAAAAATCCCCCTCTTTGTAGCAGCAGGGCATAGGGCATTATGTCCATCTCTTTCTGAGAATCCCACTTGTTAATTATGAAGGTTTGTATTTAGGCCAGAATCTAGAATTCCATTTGCTGGCTTTACAATGGACTTGCAGTATTTTCTTTAGAGTTTGATACCATGGTTCCTCTCTTTCTTGCAGGAGGCAGATGCTGAGCCCTTACTGTGACACGCTCAGAAGTAATCCGCTGCAGTTAACTTGCAGGCAGGACCAGAGAGCAGTTGCAGTGTGTAATTTGCAGAAGTTTCCTAAACCTTTACCACAGGAATACCAGGTAAAACTGGTTTGGGCCACAATTTTAGGAATCAGCTTTTTAAAAAGTAGTATCCATTTTAATTAAAAGAGTAAATTCTCTTAAGTTTCTCAATTTGTAAGGCTCTGTTTGTTTTCTATAAGTTAGAAATAATGGAATAATGCTTCCATTTCTTTATAACTAATTTCCTAATTGATAGCAGTTAGTTAAAATCTAGCAATGTTTTACAATAATGGCAAGAATAATTTGCATATTTGATCTATTTTTACCTGCTTATGTTTTCAAATTGTTTCCAAAGTCTTGCTATTTAAATTCTTCTAATTTACACAGAAAAAATATCTTCAAAGAAAATAACTTAAGTACTTAATTCAATTAATTAGAAGACATGGAAGCTCTGCTTTTGAAAAGATTTGATCCCTGGAATCTGAAAGATTAAGGAAATGGTTCCATATATATAGTCTGGATCTGATTTAACCTTTACATTTCTTTTTATCTTTTATCTTTTGGTGCCTCAGCTTCCTGAGTAGCTGGGATTACAGGTGTGAGCCACCATGCCTGGGTAATTTTTGTATTTTTAGTAGAGACAGGGTTTCACCATGTTGTCCAGGCTGGTCTTGAACTCCTGGCCTCAAGTGATCCACATGCCTCAGCCTCCTAAGGTGCTGGGATTACAGGTATGAGCCAACCTGTCTGGCTAATTTTTGTATTTCTAGTAGAAACAGGGTTTTGCCATGTTGGCCAGGCTGATCTCGAACTGCTGACCTCAAGTAGTCTACCCACCTTAGCCTCCCAAAGTGTTGGGATTACGCACGTGAGCCACTGTGCCCGCCATGACCTTTATCTTTAAAAAGCCTCAGCTTTACCTGCCATTTACAAGGAATCTTTTGTCAGAAATGATGTCTCAGAAGCTAATTTAAAATAAAGCTGCTGAATTTTTAGCTTCCTACACATATTTATGAGCTCACTGAATGCTTTATACACCATGAAATAGCAGCTGTATTCATAGACATACTAGAGTAACTCAGTGAGTTGTTAGAAAATGTGACATCTTTAAAAATTTATTTGGTGTATCCAGGGGTGTGAAAACACATAAAATTATTTTAATTTAAAAAATTTTTTTTGTTTTTGGGGGGAGATGGAATCTTGCTCTGTTGTCCAGGCTGGAGTGCAGTGGCACAATCTTGACTCACTGCAACCTCCGCCTCCCAGGTTCAAGCGATTCTCCTCCTCAATTTCTTAAGTAGCTGGAACTACAGGTGTGTGCCAGCATGCCCAGCTAATTTTTGTGTGTGTGTGTGTATATGTATATGTATATGTTGTATTTTTGTACAATATACATATATGTACAACACATATATGTATATGTATTGTATTTTTAATACAAATGGGGTTTCACTATATGTTGGCCAGGCTGGTCTTGAACTGCTGACCTCAGGTGATCTGGCCACCTCTATCTCCCAAAGTGCTGGGATTACAGGTGTGATCCACTGCACCCAGCAATAAAATTATTTTAAAAAAGAAAGGAACAATAAAATATGTCTGATGCCTTGTTCCTTTGGTGTTTGAAGAATTTTATATATATGATCTCATTTATTTTATCAGATTTTAACTTTTTTAAGTTTGTCAGAACAACATATAAACTGTCTCCTAAAAATACTTGAAAAATATTTTAAAAATATCATAACCTAAAACAAAAAGAATGTTGTAATTTTATGCATTAGTTCTATGTTTTGTCAACTCAAAACTTTGCTCAGTATAATTAAAACTATTTCATTCTTTTAAAACATGAGTTTAATTTGCCATCGTCATACATAACTTAGACTAATTTACTTACCTTGCTTATCTGTAAAACTAGAGCAACCTTAAAATACTCCTCTAGTGGTATATTACTGTCTTCTTTATTTGGTGCAGTTTATGAAGAAAGGTACATTCATATCCTTTGTTACATAGCATTAGCGAGTTGCAAGAAATTACCCGCGCACTTCCTTTGGTTTACACAGAATGTTTCTTACTTTCTTGTCTTCCCAATATTTTTTTGTAGTACTTTGATGAACTCACTGGAATACCTGCAGAAGACTTGCCTTATTATGGTGGATCAGTGGAAATTGCTGACTATTGCCCTTTCAGTCAGGAATTCAGTTGGCATTTAAGTGGTGAATATCAGCGCAACTCAGATTGTAGAATATTGGAAAATCAACCAGGTTAGTCAGCTAGTGAAATGAAGTGTTATGTACATATTAAAATTATATGTTAGCAATATAAAACAGTGGATAAGGGCACAGACCCTACAGCATGACTGAGTTTGCTTTATAGTTCAGCTGCTATCCATACGTAATAAGTGACTTAATTTTTCTCTGCCTGTTTCTTCATCTGTACAATGGAGACAATACTTAGAGCTGTGAGAATTAAATGAATTAATGTAGTAAGTGCTTAGAACTGTGCCTGACCCATAGAAGGGATTATTAGCGTATACATGCACACACGCTATGTTTTAGTCATACCTTGTGTCTGCATGGCACTTTCCATTTACAAAGCACTTTCATCCTTATCATTTTATTCTTCTAAAAACATTATGAGAAACATAAGGAAGATATTACTGTATTTCACAGATAAGCAAGCAGATACTAAGTGATGTAGTTAATTGGTGTCAGTGCAAGATCCTCCAGTGCCAGGCTCTTTTTATTAAAATACCTTAGATAAGCTGTTTTTCCTCTTGTGGAGAATGTGCATTTTATGTAAGTTAGAAGCGGCAGGTCACTCTTCAGATATCAAAACAATATTTTTGTCTTATGGCCAGTAAGACATATTACCATATTATTTGTTTTCTCTTAATACATATAAATGAACAATACATCAAAGGAATAAGCAGGTATGGCCATTGGGTCTTCTGCAATTATAATTATAGCTCATACCAATTACCTTTGTAAACTGAAATATTCTCACATCTGATGTAATAAAGAGCAGTAAGTAGTGTTTCTCTCTGTGTTCGTCAGAAGTTTTAACCTAGTCTCCAAACCCCCACCCTCATTCTATACTTTATTACAGACTAAGGGATTTAAATTCTAAATTTTTGTATTTTTACCTTTTACTCTTAAACTTGGCGGATGTAACTGGATTCCTGCAGTCATTTTTCCCCATCACTAATCTATTTAATAAATGTCCTGGACAGGTGCAGTGGCTCACACCTGCAATCACAGCACTTTGGGAGGCCAAGGCAGTTGAATTGCTTGAGCTCAGGAGTTTGAGGCCAGCTGAGCAACATAGTGAAACTCGTCTCTACCAAAAATGCAAAAAATTAGCCAGATGTGATGGTGCACACCTGTGGTTTCAGCTGTGCAGGAGAACAAGGCCTGAGGATTGTTTGAGCAGCCTGCAAGGCAGAGGTTGCAGTGAGTCCAGATGATGCCACTCTACTCCAGCCTGGGCAACACACTGAGACCCCATCTTGAATACAAATAAATAAATACATATATACATAGATAAATATTATAATGAACTTATGAATGCTCAGCAGTTCCATGTTAAAGAAAAAGAAATGCATAGATCTGTCAGTCATGGATTGGCCAGAGATAAACTATCACATGTTATTGTTTTAGAGCTGGAGTTGGCAAACTTTTTTTTGTAAAGCACAAGGTTATAAGTATTTTGGGCTTTGTGGGTCATAAAGTTTCTGTAGCTTTATGATTTAACTATCTAACTCTGCTGTTACAGTCTGAAAGCAGTTACAGACAATATGTAAATGAATGAGTGTGCCAGGATTTGGCCTGAGGATTGTAGTTTGCTGAACTCTGTTTTACTATTATTATTTTTTAGAGACAGGGTCTCTTGTCACCCAGGTTGGAGTGCAGTGGCACCCCATCCTAGTTCACTGTAACCTGTAACTCTTGGGCTCAAGTGATTCTCCTGCCTCAGACTCCCCAGAGCCAGGACTACAGGCATGCACCTCCACACTGGACTGATTTTTAAAATTTTTTGTAGAGATGAGACTTGCTATGTTACCCAGGCTGTCCTCAATCTCCTGGACTCAAGCAGTCCTCCCTCTTGGCCTCCCAAAGTGTTGGAATTATAGGCAGAAGCCACCACATCCAGCCCTGAACCCCATTTTAGACACTGATCATTAGATTTTTCAAAAAGTCTGAAACTCATAAATTCTGTTTTATTCTACTTTGCATTTTTTTCTTAGCTTATGTTATTAAGATTTATCAAAACTGACATAAAACATCTTTATGATGTTTCAGAATGGGCTAATGGACTCTCTGCTTTCCAAAAGAAAACTTACTGTAGAGAGTCTAAAGACATCACATTATTGCTCGAGTTTAAGAGCTTCGTCCCTCTGTTCATTAGGTATTTAGAGGTCCTTAATTCCACCCTGTACCTCTGCAGGTTTGTGCTTAATGTGAGATTAGATCAGCATGTTACTTGATTGGTGCAAGGGAAATTGCAGTTTTGCCATTAATGTAAAAACCACACTTACTTTTGCACCAACCTAATATTTATGGATTTCCAGGAGGTGACACAAGTTGAAGATACAGGAAAGTTCTGCAAAAGTTGCAACACCCCCAAAAAGTCTCCAAGTAGAAATCACTTGGCCTCATCCTATCATGGGTCATTTGGAGGGGCCTCCTATTTAGACCACCAGTGAAGATGATTCTTATGTTGGTATCTAGTGATCTAATGATTCTTAGTGCTAGTTCTTCTATATATTTAGCCTAGAAAACTCCAGACCCCGTTTTATTCCCTTGTGTCTGACATAGTAATTTTCTCCCATTCATTCCTTTTTGAGAACCTAGTGTGAATTTGGAATCCTGTGTTTCCTAATTTTTTAAATTTAAAATTTCTATGAAACATATTTGATTTTTAAAGCAACTTTTAATCATAAAAATGGAATGCATCAATCAATTTCTTGTTCTTTGAGCCAAAAGTCAATTTTTAGGGAGACTTTTCTTGTTTGCCTCAGAAATTTTTAAGAACTATGGTGCTGAAAAGTATGGACCTCATTCAGTTTGTCTAATTCAGAAATCAGCATTTGTTATGGAAAAGTGTGAGAGGAAGCTGAGTTACCCTGACTGGGGCAGTGGATGTTATCAGGTAAGCTTATATGTTTGTTACTAGTTATACCAAATATTATATAATTATATCTTTTATGGTTTTATATTTTAAATTATATTTTACATATTTTTATGTCATTAATTTACTGATCAATATTTATCTTGTTTATGTAAATATTAGTTTGGATGCTCATGTTTTATGAAAATATTGTCTTTTTTTTGAGAAAAATTGCCTCTTTATTTAAAAAATATAAATATATAATTGCTATAATGTTCTAGGCATATATTCTGAGGAAATAATGGTAAATATGTAATTTTGTTCTTGAGCAAATATTACTTTGTAATGGAAAAATGTACAATTTTATTTAAAAATGTCTGAGGACTACATGGGTTATAAGAATTTGTAAATCAGGCTGGACAAGGTGGCTCACGTCTGTCATCCCAGCACTTTGGGAGGCTGAGGCAGGAGGATCACTTGAGCCCTGGAGTTCAAGAGCGTCCTAGGCAACAAAGCGAGACCTTGTCTGTAAAAAAAATAAAGAAAAAAGGATTAATAAATCAGTTGCTGATTAATAATAGGGTTTTTTTTTCCTTTGTAATTAGAAATCCAAAAAGGGCAAACTACAGTTGTTGTTTTTTTTTTTCTTTTTTTTTTGAGACAGGGTCTTGCTCTGTCGCCTAGACTGTAGTGCTGGTCCAGTCACAGCTCATTGTATTCTCTGTCTCCTGGGCTCAAGTGACCTTCCCACATCATCCTCCTGAGTACTGGGGCTACAGGTGTGCACCACACACCCAACTAATTATTTGATTTTTGGTAGATACTCTGTGTTGTCCAGGCTAGTTTAGAACTTCTGGGTCCAAGCCATCCTCCTGCCTCGGCTTCCCAAAGTGCTGCAATTATAGACATTTATTTGCACATCTGATATTACATGACTGCATCACCTTATTAAGAACTTAGAAAGGTATAGCCATTCTGTGACTTAGGAGCATCCAACCTAATGAATATTCTGTACCCTACAAACGGATGTTAGGGAAGAGAGGGTAAACCTGAGAAATGAAGAAGAAGCATTCCTTGTACCATTTCAGCTGCAAGAGCTAAAAGGACTTTTGTAACTGGAAATTTAATCCTTGTCGTTAAAGTTACTTATAAAGTTAAACTTTTTTTGGTAACTGCTCTTTTTTTTTGGAGACAGGGTTTGCTCTGACGCCCAGGCTAGAGGCCATGGCACGATCATGGCTCACTGCAGCCTCGAACTCCCAGGCTCAGGTGATTATCCCACCTGAGCCATCTGAGTAGCTGGGACTACAGGGGCACACCACCACAACTGGCTAATTTTTCTAATTTTTTTGTAGAGAAGGGTTTTTCCATACTTCTCAAGCTGGTCTTGAACTCCTTGGCTTGTGTGATTCACCTGCCTCAGCCTCCCAAAGTGTTGGGAGTACAGACATGACCCACTTTGCCTGACCTGGTAATAGTACTACCAAGATATATATCACATGCCATACAATTTATGTAAAATTAACATTTTTTTTCTTTTTTTAATTTTTTATTGGATTTTAGGTTTTGGGGTACATGAGCAGAGCATGCAAGACAGTTGCGTAGGTACACACATGGCAGTGTGCTTTGCTTTTCTTCTCCCCTTCACCCACATTTGGCATTTCTCCCCAGGCTATCCCTCCGCACCTCCCCCTCCCACTGGCCCTCCCCTTTTCCCCCCAATAGACCCCAGTGTTTAGTACTCCCCTTTCTGTGTCCATGTGTTCTCATTTTTCATCACCCGCCTATGAGTGAGAATATGCGGTGTTTCATTTTCTGTTCTTGTGTCAGTTTGCTGAGGATGATGTTCTCCAGATTCATCCATGTCCCTACAAATGACACAAACTCGTCATTTCTGATTGCTGCATAATATTCCATGGTGTATATGTGCCACATTTTTCCAATCCAGTCTATTATCAATGGGCATTTGGGTTGATTCCAGGTCTTTGCTATTGTAAACAGTGCTGCAATGAACATTCGTGTACATGTGTCCTTATAGTAGAACGATTTATAGTCTTTTGGATATATACCCAGTAATGGGATTGCTGGGTCAAATGGAATTTCTATTTCTAAGGCCTTGAGGAATCGCCACACCGTCTTCCACAATGGTTGAACTAATTTACACTCCCACCAACAGTGTAAAAGTGTTTCTTTTTCTCCACATCCTCTCCAGCATCTGTTGTCTCCAGATTTTTTAATGATCGCCATTCTAACTGGCATGAGATGGTATCTCAATGTGGTTTTGATTTGCATCTCTCTGATGACCAGTGACGATGAGCATTTTTTCATATGATTGTTGGCCTCATATATGTCTTCTTTCGTAAAGTATCTGTTCATATCCTTTGCCCACTTTTGAATGGGCTTGTTTGTTTTTTTCCTGTAAATCTGTTTGAGTTCTTTGTAAATTCTGGATATCAGCCCTTTGTCAGATGGGTAGACTGTGAAAATTTTTTCCCATTCTGTTGGTTGCCGATCCACTCTAGTGACTGTTTCTTTTGCCGTGCAGAAGCTGTGGAGTTTCATTAGGTCCCATTTTTCTATTTTGGCTTTTGTTGCCAATGCTTTTGGTGTTTTGTTCATGAAGTCCTTGCCTACTCCTATGTCCTGGATAGTTTTGCCTAGATTTTCTTCTAGGGTTTTTATGGCGCCAGGTCTTATGTTTAAGTCTTTAATCCATCTGGAATTAATTTTAGTGTAAGGTGTCAGGAAGGGGTCCAGTTTCTGCCTTCTGCACATGGCTAGCCAGTTTTCCCAACACCATTTGTTAAACAAGGAATCCTTTCCCCATTGCTTGTTTTTGTCAGGTTTATCAAAGATTGTATAGTTGTATGTATGTTGTGTTGCCTCCGGTGCCTCTGTTTTGTTCCATTGGTCTATATCTCTGTTTTGGTACCAGTACCATGCTGTTTTGATTACTGTAGCCTTGTAGTATAGTTTGAAATCCGGTAGCCTTGTAGTATAGTTTGAAATCACAGTAGCCCCCTGCTGTGTTCTTTTTGCTTAGAATTGACTTGGCTATGTGGGCTCTCTTTTGGTTCCATATGAAGTTCATGGTGGTTTTTTCCAGTTCTGTGAAGAAAGTCAATGGTAGCTTGATGGGGATAGCGTTGATTCTGTAAATTACTTTGGGCAGTAAAACCATTTTCACGATATTAATTCTTCCTAACCATGAACATGGAATGTTTCTCCATCTGTTTGTGTCCTCTCTGATTTCGTTGAGCAGTGGTTTGTAGTTCTCCTTGAAGAGGTCCCTTACGTTCCTTGTGAGTTGTCTTCCAAGGTATTTTATTCTTTTTGTAGCAATTGTGAATGGCAGTTTGTTCTTGATTTGGCTTTCTTTAAGTCTGTTATTGGTGTAGACGAATGCTTGTGATTTTTGCACATTGATTTTATATCCTGAGACTTTGCTGAAGTTGCTTATCAGTTTCAGGAGTTTTTGGGCTGAGGCGATGGGGTCTTCTAGGTATACTATCATGTCGTCTGCAAATAGAGACAATTTGGCTTCCTCCTTTCCTATTTGAATACCCTTTATTTCTTTTTCTTGCCTGATTGCTCTGGCTAGAACTTCCAGAACTATATTGAATAGGAGTGGTGAAAGAGGGCATCCTTGTCTAGTGCCAGATTTCAAAGGGAATGCTTCCAGTTTTTGCCCATTCAGTATGATATTGGCTGTTGGTTTGTCATAAATAGCTTTTATTACTTTGAGATACGTTCCATCGATACCGAGTTTATTGAGGGTTTTTAGTATAAAAGGCTGTTGAATTTTGTCAAATGCCTTCTCTGCGTCAATTGAGATAATCATGTGGTTTTTGTTTTTGGTTCTGTTTATGTGGTGAATTACTTTTATAGACTTGCGTATGTTGAACCAGCCTTGCATCTCCGGGATGAATCCTACTTGATCATGATGAATAAGTTTTTTGATTTGCTGTTGCAATCGGCTTGCCAATATTTTATTGAAGATTTTTGCATCTATGTTCATCATGGATATTGGCCTGAAGTTTTCTTTTCTTGTTGGGTCTCTGCCGGGTTTTGGTATCAGAATGATGTTGGTCTCATAAAATGATTTGGGAAGGATTCCCTCTTTTTGGATTGTTTGAAATAGTTTTAGAAGAAATGGTACCAGCTCTTCCTTGTGTGTCTGGTAGAATTCGGCTGTGAACCCGTCTGGACCTGGGCTTTTTTTGTGTGGTAGGCTCTTAATTGCTGCCTCAACTTCAGACCTTGTTATTGGTCTATTCATAGTTTCAGCTTCCTCCTGGTTTAGGCTTGGGAGGACACAGGAGTCCAGGAATTTATCCATTTCTTCCAGGTTTACTAGTTTATGCGCATATAGTTGTTTGTAATATTCTCTGATGATGGTTTGAATTTCTGTGGAATCTGTGGTGATTTCCCCTTTATCATTTTTTATTGCATCTATTTGGTTGTTCTCTCTCTTCTTTTTAATCAATCTGGCTAGTGGTCTGTCTATTTTGTTGATCTTTTCAAAAAACCAGCTCTTGGATTTATTGATTTTTTGAAGGGTTTTTCGTGTCTCAATCTCCTTCAGCTCAGCTCTGATCTTAGTTATTTCTTGTCTTCTGCTGGGTTTTGAGTTTTTTTGATCTGGCTCCTCTAGCTCTTTCAATTTTGACGATAGGGTGTCAATTTTGGATCTCTCTATTCTCCTCATATGGGCACTTATTGCTATATACTTTCCTCTAGAGACTGCTTTAAATGTGTCCCAGAGGTTCTGGCACGTTGTGTCTTCGTTCTCATTGGTTTCGAAGAACTTCTTTATTTCTGCCTTCATTTCATTGTTTACCCAGTCAACATTCAAGAGCCAGTTGTTCAGTTTCCATGAAGCTGTGCGGTTCTGGGTCTGTTTCTGAATTCTGAGTTCTAACTTGATTGTACTATGGTCCGAGAGGCTGTTTGTTATGATTTCAGTTGTTTTGCATTTGTTGAGCAGTGCTTTACTTCCAATTATGTGGTCAATTTTAGAGTAGGTGTGATGTGGTGCTGAG